GCTCATTGGAAAGACTTGGGCACCAATGGCAGCTTTTTTCAAGTCACAGAAGTAATATTCATTGTTTTGCAATTAGTACGATAGGCAAAGCTCGTTTGATGCCGCCTAAATATTATAGAAACAAGGTAAGTGAGCTGTTTAGAATAATATATATTTATTTGAAAAATTATTGCATTTACTAAATTTTTAATAATGACTTAGTACATATCTTAGTAATAATGTTTTTAGTTTAGTAGTTAAATAAAAATTAACAATATTTTGAATTTGATTTCTTCATTAGCCTTGACTTTAAATATGTTCATTTTTAATAACTAATATTTTGTAATTGATAGTAACAAATCAAAGAAATGGAGTTCTTATTCACTGTGCTTAAATAATGCAGTTGAAATAAATTGGTCCCAAGAAAGATGAACATGTTTATTTCAGTAATTTCCTTTAAATAGCATAAGGATATTCGTTGAGAAAATCTACATCATGAAGATTATTAGATAAATTATCAATAAATTTATCGTGGACCCTTAATATATAGAAGAAGAAGAAGCTATGTGCAAATTTTACTGTTAAGCTTTTTATTTTTCTGTGTTCACTTTTCTATAAGCCTATCTGTTTTTAGTTGGCTTTTTCCGACTCAAAATATTTTTCACACCTAATTATTAAGATTTATTAATTAAGCTCTGTTTTAAAATATTTCTAGCTCTGCTGCTACAAGTGGGTAAAACCACACATTTCTGATGACTGGGAAGCTTGGGTACAAAGTCAAAGAGACTCTGTTTACATCAGGGATTCACCTGACACTGGGCATTTTCTGATAAATGACCCATGGACATGGTCTTCTTTTAATAATAACGAAGCCTTGGAAAATATTGAAGCTCACCAATGGTGTTGTGCCAACATCAATGATCCACTGTGTCAAAAGTTTTATCATATCTTTCCTGCAGACAACTGTTCTGACTTTGTTACATTTCTTCCTGGTAGATTTTCAATTCCAATGATTTTATTTAATATTTTGTAATTTGTGGGATTTTTGGGGTAATATTCTATTTTTTAGCTAAATATTTATTGAAATTTTGATAAATAATATGTTAATAAATTTTAAGAAGTGCTGCCCTTTTGGCTTTTGGTATCTTGTTATAATGTAATTTAATATAGTTTCATGATTGTTTAGAATAAAACATATGCATTTGAATTAAAATATTTTTAATTACCATAATCTATTTATTATTTAATTTTTTAAGCTTCTGCATTTGGAGATCCTCACATTATTACATTGGATGGATTAAAATATGCCATGAATGGATGGGGTGAATATATCTTGATGAATGTGGAAACAAGTAATTTTACACTTCAGGTAATCAAATGTTAGAAATTCTTTATTAAAAAATTGTGGTAAATTAGCAAGCAAAGCTATAACCCTATTTTCAGTATGTTATAAAATTTATTTCATTTTGGTGATTGATATGAGTAGCCCCTAGCAATAATTCAGTTAATTTATGGCAATGTGAAGATTTAACAATGTCCAATGTCTGACTTATAATGCTAATGTTATCTACCACATTTAGCACTAAAGAAATATAAAAGACCTATAAAGCTGAGTTTACCAAACTTTTGTATTTTCAGCTACAATATGTTTTACACAGTATCTCATCCCATACCATTTATTAGATTAAGTCTCAGACTCTCTACAAAGGAAACAATTCATTTTAAAATTTGGATAAAAATTAACATATTGTTAACCTTAAATTTACGAATGGACTAAATTATTTAAAGATAAATGTGCGACCTATTGCAAGAAGTAAAATTTAAATGAAAACATAAAATTATATTTTTAAAAATATCTTGACTCAAAAGTCAAGTTTTCTTTTTTTTCAAATGCACTTTACATCCCCTGAGGGCTTTGCTAGGTTTTGAAACCATGATATAAAATATAGATTGGTGCATTTGAGTGCAGAAATAAAAAGTTTATTTTTTAACTTAAAATAATTTAAATCCCTGTGAATTCTAACAATTATTATAAAACTTCAGGGTAGAACTGGTAGAGCTGAATCAAAGAATTCTTCGGTGACCAATGCCACAGTTTTTATTGCTTTTGCTGCAAAGCAATATGTAAAGTCACATTTTCATGTGGAGCTTTCAATGGATAATTTAAGTAAGTTAGTAAAAATACAGGATGAATGGGATAAAATGTTAATTAACTTTTGGAGAATCAATTTAATTTTATAGTAAAATCTTTGAATGCAATAAAATTTATTGATCCCTTTATTTTAATAAAAATAGAAAAATATGGATGGAATAAAATAACTCTGATATATTTTTAATAAGGAATACATATTCTATGAAAAACTATAAAATTACATATACAAAATCATTATCTTAGATAATATTTTGCTTTAAAAGGGAATGAACATTTTTCAACATTAATTCTAATGCAAGATTCTAGAAAATAATTTGAAAATGAAAAGAAAAAACAGGAATACTTGGCCATTATATTCTAAGCAATAAGTATATAATAGCATTATTCATCAAAACAAGAGTAATTGTGCGCTTTTAAACAAAATTATCAATTAGGCCTACAGGAAACAATGTAATGTTATTAGAAATTAAGCTTTTGATTTTTCAAGTTGAAAAAAAATCATGTCTTTATAATAATGCCACATTGGCAATCTGCATATCGTGGGAGAAAGGGCCTACTCATTTATTTCTTTTATATCTATTACATTAATTTTAACTTAGAGTACACATTTTTCAGCCATGATCCTGTTTGCTAACAATATGGACATTACCAATGACTTTTATGAAAATACAAATTTCTTTTTCACAACGGACACTATAAGTGTTTCAAAGGAAATAAGAAATAATAGAACAGTTGTGTCAGCATCATTTTTGAGTGGTAAGTAATATGTCAAAAACAACTTTTTTTAGTTTAAAAAAAATAATTTTAATTATTATTTACTTTTGGTTGTATAACTTTACTTCTCTTCTTCTTCTATATCTTAAGGGCCCACGATCAATTTATTGATCATTTTGGCTCCTATGCATGTAGATGGGATTTGCAATGTTTCTGTTACTGGTGTTGATGAGGAAATCATGCACTAGGGGTTTGAAAGCTTGAGGCAATAGACACAAATGTTTCTAGTGTTGTCGCCTCAACCGTTCCTTTTGAAAGATTGTTCCAGTCCCTGATTGTCTTGGGCAGGAATGAGCAGCTCCTATACTGGCTTCTTGCTGTCTATGGGGGAAGGGACGAGTTTCTGTTTAATACTGGAACAGTGGACCAGCCCATTATTTATCTTGTACATCATGGAGAGCCTGGATTGTCGTCGTCGTTTCTCCAATGGTGACCAGCCTAGTGTTTCTAGCATGCTGTTTGTACATCATGGAGAGCCTGGATTGTCGTCGTCGTTTCTCCAATGGTGACCAGCCTAGTGTTTCTAGCATGCTGCCAACACTAGAGGTATTCCTGTAGCGGTTTAGGACAAAGCGTGCTGCTCGTCTCTGGACCGCCTCCAACCTGTCAATGCTCTTCTGGGTAAATGGGTCCCAGACTGAAGATGCATAATCTAAAATCAGACGGATAAAGGCTTTATATGCTCTTTCTTTCACACAGGAGTTGCCAATCTTTAGATTTCGCCTTAAGAACCCTAGGGTCTTGTTTGCTTGGTTACATACACTGTTAATATAGAGTACTTTGAAATTTCCTTTTATTAAATTATGACTTTTTATAATAAAACTAAAATTGCATTCGAATGTTTGACCTTTAAAACCAGTTTTCCTTCAAAAACGTATAAATAAAGTGACTAGCCAAAAATTTAATACACGGCTTACTTTTAAATCATTAATAAATGCAACGTTGGGTCTTATAATTACGTATTTTATTTTTCAACTTTAGAAATTTGACTTAGAGGCCTACTACAAAACTGGCTGAAAATTATGTTTAGAATTGCAATTTCATATATTATGAGCTCAATTAAAACTTATTTTAAGCTTGTATTTTGTTCTAAACATATGAAATAATTAGGATACCTTTTGTTCTAGGTGTCACCATCAGAGTCTATGTTGCGTGGAAAAGCTTAGAAATTGATTTTGAAGTTGATAAAAGTTTGCGAAATAAGACCAGTGGACTGTTTGGAAATTTCAACGGGTTTTTAATGGATGATTTGATGGAGCCTACTGGATTGGTCATAAACTTTACAGAGACAGAAAAAACTATTTTTAATGATTTTATAAAGAAATGTATGAATTTGTAATTACTTAAGCTAGCTCATTAGATATGTGTACTTTTTTGTCATTCACCAATGCAATATAGACTATCTTTGATTTAAAAAAATTAAGGTATTGTTAACATTTGATCATTTCTTTTATTGTATAGTTTAAATTTAAAACAAACTATTCAGTCAAAAAAGTATTTAATCACAGAGATATAACAATAATGAAAAATTCCTTGAATACCAACTTACATTGCTTATGCATTTTAAACTAAAGAAACACTTGAAAAAATGCAAGTTTTGAAATAATTTCACGAACATGCATACAAAAAATAAGTTATCAACATCACAAGTTTGCCTATGATTAAAAAAGGTGTAGCTTCACAGCTTAAATTGTGTGATTCATATGACACACACGTCTCTTTCATGTGTAAAATGTATAAAATAGTGAAAAAGTAGACTTTAATATAATAAAAAGCATTTTTTTTTTTTGCCTATCAGCTTTATTTGCAAAGTAAGTTTGTATTCTGGTTTGCCGAAATGTTAATTTTTAAATGAATTTTTTTAAAAAGAAACAATTAAACAATTGTAGTTATTAGATCAAATAAATATTTATGAACTAATCATTCCTAAAATGAGGCTATGTATTGAATAGCTGCTTTAATTAAAAATTTTATTTTTAAGCACAATTTTAAAGCCTATTGAATGTAGATGTTCATTTATAAATTCTTTTGAAACCTAACGTTGACATAACCACTGAGCTTAAAATAGTTTGTATTTTATCTCTTTACAGGGAGTGTAGATGAAACAAATTCAGTCTTTTTATACAAGCGAGGTGAGGGTTATAAAGATTTCCACCACCCAGAGTTTGTTCCCATGTTTAAAGATCAGACAGACCCAACTGAAGTTCAAAAGGCTGAGCTAGTATGTGGAAAGGAAAATGATGCATGTATATTTGATTACCTAGCAACATTAGAAAAAATTATTGCTGAGAATACCAAACAAATAATGCTGAAACAAGATTTTGTGGCTCAGAGTTTAGGTAATGTATTGAGTGTCACATTATCAATTTTAAGGATTTTTATTTATGAATATGATGTAGGGAAAACTTTAGGCTATATTTATTTACTATTAATCTGTTAACATACTTTTGTTTTAGAATTCATCGTAAACTTTTTGGGAAAAAATATTATATGTAATTTTGTAATTTATTTCTAATAAGATAATAACTATTTGTTTAATATTTCTCAAGTTTTATTATACTAAAGTTTTGGTCACATTTTCCTGATCTTTAACTTTACTTATTGTCTTTGAACTGACTGCCATCCCCCAATCCCAACAGAAAAGGCATTAGTACTTCATCAACATGTCCCTTAGTCCTTGGACTGTTGGGGCACCACAGATGACATGAAAACTATCCTCTTCCATTCCTCTCTATTTTCTGCACTTCGCAGTTTTAGTCCTGTCCGTTCTTGGATGTTATTATCCCATTTTTTTCTCTGTCTTCTTCTTCATTGGTACTTATAACTATAAATAATTTGGTTAGTTTAAAGCATATCTTAAAAAGAATTATATTATACATTTTATTACAGTACTATGTGCTTTAAAATGACTTTTTGTTTAATTTTTCATAAAGATTTTAACAATTTTTTTTTCTTTATCTTTTTTAAAAAAAGTAAATCACCCCCCTAGTTTGTCACTCAACAGTAGCTTATTGACAGCAACAGGTAAATGGGTGGTAACAGCAAGAGTGGAAACATCAATACAAGTTCTTACACAGGATGATGATGGAGATGATGTCAGTATTGAGATAGCAGAACAAACAAAAGGAGTAAAAGTGACCAAACAAAATACAATTATTTATACACCAGATCTACTTAATCCAATTGCTTTAAGGTATGATGATTTTCTATTTTAACTGTAAGGCTACTTTAGACTAATGATTTATAGTTAACATAAATTTGTGTGCTATTATAAAATCAATTCTAGCAAATCATTACGTGTTGTCCAATTTTTTAAAAATTAAATGAATAATGGACTACTCAAACATTTAAATTTCATTAGTCTTATTTATGCCTATATTATATTTACCTGTGAAAAGTTTATTTAATGTTATAATAGGTACAATTAGGCCTAAAATATATATATACTGGTATGTGTGATTAAATGAATAATTCATTAAATGTCTTGATAACTCTGAACAAGATAAGCCAAAGTTAAATTCATAAACAGGACAAACGATTTTGATATATTGGCTTAGAGTCTTCATCAGAAAACAAGACAAAAAGAAGTATAACAAGTATCAGATCACAGTAAAAAAAAATTTAGAGATATCCTTTTGTTCCCAGATGTAGGGTTACAGGAAGTGAAAGAATATAAATATTGGTACTGGGAAAAATGAGAATCAGGTAGAATCCTGTCCATTAATTATTATCTATGATAACTCTCTCTGTCCTAATGGCTACAAATAAACATCAGCGTGCAGTATTTTCAAATAAGACTTCATTTAATGTTTTAAACCGTACCCTATCTTACTTTCTTAAAGAATGAAAGCTAAAGATTCAAAGAATGGTACCAGTCCAATACTGACTGTAAATTTAGCAGTCTGTCCAGACTGCAGTGGCAATGGCGAATGTGACAACAGTGCAGAAAGTACTTATTTCAATGGTATATTCCAGATATTACAGTGTAAATGTTTCCCAGCTTATACAGGTAATTGAAAAATAATTTGTTTGAGTTGATCATTAGCTTTAGATACAAAACTTTAATTCTTTTCACAGAAAAAAAAAATTAGGTTAGAACAATAATATAAAAAAGAAATGATATGCTTCAATTGATTGCATTTTCACCCAATCGTATTTTTTTTAAAAGACTGATAGTTTTAATAAGTTGTTCAAATAAAATCCTATGCAAAACTGAGAATATGCTGTTTTACATAAATCATTTTCAAAAGGTACACAGTGTGAATCAGAATTTGATGCTTGTAACAATCAACCATGTCTTAAAGGACAAAACTGTACAGACCTAACAGCGACTCAACAAGGGATGAGTCCGATTGGATACATCTGCGGACCATGTCCTAATGGATATTACAAACTGAGCGGATCATGTGAAGGTCAGGTGATGCTTAATTTTTTTTTTTAATGTGACATATTCAAACTCTGTTTAATAAAGAGATAACTTACTTCCTATTACATATTTTTTTATTATTGCCAATTATTGAGAAAAAGATATAACCTTTAGTCATCTGCAATAAATAAAATAATATATAAAAAAACAAAACAACTTGAGTCTAACTTAAGTCTGAAAATAATTATATGATGTTTTCTTGTCTCTCTCTAATAAATCTAATCCAAAAATTATGTACATTTCATTTTGTTAACTACAGACATCAATGAATGTAAAGAAATCCACAGTCCATGTAACCATAACTGCACTAATACAGATGGCTCTTTCATCTGTACCTGCCTTCCAGGTTATAGGCTTGGTGAAGATCAAATGACCTGCATAGGTAAATTTATTTGTATATTTAACTAAAAATAGAAATCTTGTTTGTTTAGTATGGTCACAATAAGGATATTATAATTAATTGCATATTTAGAGTTTAATATTGATAACATGAACTGAATGATAAGCCACCAGTAAACTAGCACTGACAAAGTATGTTTCTAAATTTTATTCAAGTTATCATCATATTTTAGATACATAATATAGGCTATATTCTTAGTATGGATTTCATTTAAAAGTATTTTTCAAAATATACACATTTCTCGTGTATTTAGTGGTATGTATATGAATTTTTTAAATTTCAGATATAAATGAATGTGAAGAAAGAATATCATCCTGTCAACAGATTTGTAACAATGATGATGGTGGCTACAGCTGTGCCTGCAGTTCTGGCTATATTTTACATTCTGACCACATAACATGCAAACTAGGTAATTACCTTTCTTTTCTTAATAAAACTAGCTTATTTTATCCGTATGAATCCTTTTTAACCACTCTTAATTAATTAATTTGTTGATAAAGGAAGATTTGATTTCTAACAGAGACTTATAAATCAGAATTTTTTTTTTTTATTTAAAAATTCAAGTAATGTAATTACCAATTATTACAAAATGAAAATATAACATTTGGAAAAATTCAGTTGGTATAACTATTTATTTAATGTATTTTTTAAATTTAGGCCTTTCATTGATAATTTAATATCATTATAATGGATTATAAATAATATCAGTATAGATTTGTCCCATAATAGGAAACCTAGCATAACTGTATGAATATATTTTATTTTACATATTTTCTATTAAATAATGTTGGTTCTTAATGGAAGAATATATTTTAATGCCCATAAATATTTAATATATGTAATAACTAGCACTAGTATCAGAAAGAATTAAGTTATGCAACTATTATTTCATTTGTCATGATATAATTACAATTAAACGTGTGCTTTTTGTTTTTTTAATTTGTTTTTATTTCACTTTCATTATATTTATATATTAAATCTTGCATAGATAATATACTTATAGATAAGAAATTAAATCAACTGAAGGTTTTAACACATGGTTTACAGTTAAACTCATGTCAAATTTGATCTTTGAAAAATATGCACATATATTTTTCTCATGTTCCAATGTAGACAATGAAAGTAAAGCAGATTAAAATGTGTATTATTTAAAACATAATATAAATGCATTTCATTATATGTGTTTTCCCCATATATAAAGAAAGCTCAATAAAATGTGATGGGTGTCAACAAATCTGTTTTATGAATAGTAGTGGAATAGCAACTTGCAAATGTCACATTGGATATTTTGTGGATCCAAATGACAGCAGACGATGCATAGGTATTATGTTTTTCTTTATATTAGAATCCTCTATATCCTTGAATTATTTGAGTATGGTTAAATTAGAAATTTTGTCAACTCTATCTCTCTTCTTACCAAAGTCATACTTATATTACATTTCATTTGCAGTTTCTTCTTGTACTGGACACAATACCCCACACTTCATATAAATCCAAGTATATATATGTGCCATAAAATAGTTATTTATTTAAAATGTTAATTATATTAAAAGCATGCACAAGCATTCATATCCTTTTATTGAATCCAATACACACACATAAATTCACTTTAAGTATATAATTTTTACACAAGTTTTGCTCATTATAAAATATTAATAGTAGCAAAAATTCCAGATTTACTACAAATATATCAGTACCCACTAACAATGTTAATTTCAGATGTTAATGAATGTGATTATGGAACTAAGCCATGTAGTCAAGGCTGCAACAACACTGAGGGGAAATTTGACTGTTACTGTTATGCTGGCTATAGGACAGACTCAGATGGTGTGTCTTGTGTTGGTAAGTTCCCATAGCAAAAAGATTTTTTTTTTGAAAAAAAAAAGTAAATAAATTTATTTTATAAATATTCAGTCTAGTCTACTCACAGATAAATTTGTATTTCAGGTTGTGAGTACCCTCACTATGGTACTAACTGCTCTCAAACATGTCAGTGTAGTGGTAGAGGAGAGTGTGATGCTGTTAAAGGATGTATTTGTGACCAAGGCTGGACAGGTGTTAGTTGTAATGTAGATGTTGATGAATGTGATCAGCCTGAAGCCTGTCATGAAACACAACTGTGTGAAAATATGTATGGGTCCTACATTTGCTCCTGCCCAGCTGGCTGGCAAACTAATAACGATGATAAGTGTGTTGGTATGTTCCTTTAGCATTGTAAACTTTAAACAGTTACAGAATGTTTTGTTTTTTTGGCTGTAAATATAAGACAATCTTTTGTTTAAAGTTCGTAGAGTAGACTTGTTGTCATAAAGTATATATTTATTTCATTAAAGTTATCTGTTGCAAGGAGAATAAGGTTTGAAATGCAACTGTATAAGGTAATTATTATGAAGTAGACTTGCCCTGAAATTAAAAACATTCTCTTGGTTTTCTCAAAACACTTACAAGCCAAAGGTAATATTTATCAAAATGATGGGAAGATTTAAATTAACATCATTTAATTTTCAAGATCTAGATTAGACAAACAACAACAAAAACCGCTGTTACAAGACATTTTAGTCACCATTTCTCCCAGTAACAAAATAAATAATTTAAAGATCAATGACAGTTTGTAGAGACATATATAAATGATTGATTATGTAAGTAATATTGAACTGCTTTTAAATAGCCCCTTTCATAATAAGACAAAATTTCAACCATAGCATTATTTTTGGCATTTTAGTATTTTTGTACAAGTTATTTTTTTCATTATTGTTTTTTATTTCAAAATTTTGTAAAATAAAGTTTCTTCATTAATAAGGCCTATAATTCATAACGTTTTTTAATACCTTAATTTACTACCTTTCTATTCATTAATTTAGCTTTATTTTGACCAGAATTGCTATATATAGGATAAAATACTTGAATATAGTATATCAATATAATATCTGCTTTAATTCTCGTCATGTTACTTCCATTATAGATATCAATGAATGCACTGATCTAAATGTGAACATGACATGTGATCTACGTGTGGAGACTTGCTATAACACACAAGGCAGCTACAAATGTAATTGCATAGAGGGATATTCACGAAATACTGCAAACATTTGTGAAGGTAGAAGGAAAGAAAATATCTCAAAGTATTTTTAAATACTATGTATAACATAAATAATCTACTTTACTGGAGTTAATATCTTTAAAAATTGATTTATCCTCAGAAGGCATTGGTTTGTTCATATTTAACTGAAGTAAACTATTAATTATAAACCTAACATATTTATAGCTTGCTTGATGTTGATTTAAAAATAGTTGTAAAATAAGAGAAAAATATAAATTTTTCATAGAAGAATTTTTAATTTGTATAATCATTTAATAGATTTTTAAAAATTTATTAAATTAACTGTAGATAAATAAAATGTATATAAAATACAAAAAGAATCTTATGTGACTCAAGTGAATATGTTTTTCATACAGATATAGATGAATGCAAACTTAGTATTGATGGATGTCAACAAATGTGTCACAACTTTGAAGGACGCTACAATTGTGAATGTGATTCAGGATATGTGCTTGACAGTGACAGGAAACAATGCTTGAGAAGTATGAAAGAAGTTGACTTTGCAGATTAAAGAAAAGAACATCCACACAAAACAGAATTGGAACTAGAAAAATTGATGGGGAGAAAAAAAACATTTTTTTTTTAAATTTGTCTTTGATACAATTTTACATAGGTTTTTATTTTTTATTTTGTTTTTGCTAATGGTAAAGATTAACATTATTTTATTATTGTGATGGTTATCTAATATTTTAATAATACACATATAGTCTAAGTTCAGATACAGAATAGAGTTTAAATAACTTGGTTCTTCCAGAATTAATTTACCCAAACTGAATTATTTTCATAATCCTATTTTAAAACATCAACAAGAGAAACAAAAAATGGAAAAGAGCTAAAGTTTCAGTGTGTATTTTTAGTTGGTTATTCATTTTTAATAAAGATCATTTTTTTGTATGTACATTTGGAGCAAGATGGCATGTTTCTTAACAGGACAAGGGAAATTATGTAATAGAAAATTGGGGGATTAGAACGTAAAAATTTCTATTCTTCTTGGTGTAAACCTCTTACGACAAGACAATTTTTAAATAAACATAAGTGTGTCTCCGAAGAAGGCTGAAACTCACACTCTGTGGGCTACCAGTTGCTACTTAATATAAAGTTGCTTATCCTAATCTCATGACCAAAAAGCCATACAGACCTCCAGTCAAGTCATACACTATCATAGTCCAATAAAGAGTAAAGTAATGAAAAAAAACTTAAAATTTTAATTTACTTGAAAACACACCTCAATGTTATGACTCATTCAGTTATCTAGCTTATTTGGTATTTAATCTGGTTGTGAATGGGGAAAGAGGCTGGGGCAATAGTTATAATAGCCATCCATTGGGGAAAATGAAAGGGGAGAGGGACTTACATGGAGGATGCCTCATTAAACTTATCCAGCTTTGATATGATATTTTTTCTAAATAATTTATTTGATTTTGAACATAATCACTTTATAAAGTATAGCAATTTCTTATGTTCAGAAAAATGATATCTAAATTTTAACATTTTTTTCATAAAAGTACGAGATATCTGTGCAAAAGCTAATCTGACCTGCACAGTATGTAGAGTAGATGAAAATAATAATGCTCACTGCTCCTGTCCACTTGGATATATCACACATGACAATCACAATTATGGGACTTGTGAAGGTTTTTATTGGTTTTTTTTTAGCTTGTTCATCTAAAAATAAATTGCATTAAGATAATTTGTTAAAACATTTTAGTATTTAAATTACATTTAGAGATTAACTTATGAAATGAATTAAGGCATTAAGCGTACAATTCTGTTACATTATGATTGCTTACAAATTTTTAAAAGTTAACAATTACAAATATATATATATAGTTAGTGTTATGCCTTCTAAGCTTTTCTTAATTAACAATTAAATTTGTTTTTTGAATTGCATTTGCTTTCTGTTGTTTTTTTTTTTTTTTTAGCTTTAAACTATAATTTACCTAACATCCCTTTTTGCAACATAGTATGTTAAATATAATTCGATAAATCACCTAAACAAAAAAAAATTAAATTAAAATTTAACAATTAAATTTGTTTTTTGAATTGCATTTGCTTTCTGTTGTTTTTTTTTTTTTTGTAGCTTTAAACTATAATTTACCTAACATCCCTTTTTGCAACATAGTATGTTAAATATAATTCGATAAATCACCTAAACAAAAAAAAATTAAATTAAAATAATAATATAAGTTAAATTGTTTTATTAGTTTTTCAATTAACTCTTATTTCTATTCTTTCTCAATTATAAAATATTTGACTTAAACAAATTCAATACAGATATAAACGAATGCAATTCAAGTGATCAAACTCTCAATGGTTGTCAGCACAAAGATTTGTGTACCAACACACCTGGGAGCTATAACTGTTCTTGTCCACCAGGATATAGTTTGGAGAGAAATAGGCGCACTTGCTTAGGTGAGTATTATTTATTTTTTTAAATTTCTTATAGTAGGCTATCTCACACTTGAATTAATGTTCATTTTTATGTTGATTTTAGAAAGATGGGCTCCCCAAATAACTGTCTAGGAGCCCAATGAATTCTTTATCTAATTTTATATTTTCAATTTAACAATAATTCAATCCTTATTTTTCATTTTGATGTGTTGTATTCATAAATTTGTAATATGTTTTTATGTTTCCATAAATGAGAAGCAGTTAAAATTACTAAGTAAAATTCAAATGTAGCATGCACTGGAGAAACCTGGGGTTTTGAGTGTGCCAATGAATGTGCTTGTAGGATAGGAGCTGTGGAATGTGACCCTGTTCAAGGTTGTGTCTGCAAGTCAGGATATACAGGTACTCTAAGTTTTAAAGCCACTTATAGTTCACATTAAATTAACTTGTATTTAATAATTACATTGAACAAAACCAAATATATGTACATTAAAATAAATATTTCAATTATTTTACATCTTAATTAAACTAGATATCTACATTAAACAAAATTTTCATTTGTACTTTTTATTATTAATTTAATGTATGAATTTTTAGTTTTTAAATCATCACAATAAAATAATATAATAAAATACATAATTTTAGAGTTACATTTATGATAGAAAAATCTGACTATGAACTATTATAATGATAATCATATTATTTCTTTGAACTTTTTCATTATCTCTGAAAGATTCACAGTTGCTATATATTAATGAAATTAAAGATTTTAAAAATTCTATTGGGGTTATAGAATACTGAGAAGAATCATAACGTCTTAGTAGAAGTTGATAAATATTTGAACATAGCCAGACATAAAATCTGAGTTGAAGAGGGCTAACTGCCTTAATATTGTATTACATTATATACTGTTTATTGCAATGTATTTGTATGAAAGTGTTATATTTATAGAGAAGTAAACAGTTACTTTTAAAGGTTTAATATTTGTGTTCAAATCAAAGGCAGATTTTGTGAAAGCGATCTAGATGAATGTGCAACAGGTGAAATAAGCTGTAAAGAATTTGAAAAATGTATCAACATCCCAGGAACAGCAGTTTGTAAATGTAGAGATGGCTATCAATTAAATGAAACTGGAACCTGCATCGGTAATTTTTTTTCATTTTAATAAATGATTATTCTTTTATTTTTTCAAAAAGTTGTTTCCTTCAGAAAACTTTAATTAACATGTATTATATACATGTCATTAATGGTATTTAAAATGAATATTAATTAATATTTGCATAAAATAAAATTAAAATAAATGAAAAGCATCTAAGGTTTTTATCAAATGTCAAAAGGGAAATGGGTGAAACAAAGTATGGGAAAACCTGAAAATTAACAAAATAAAACAACGGAAAATTTTTTCTTGTTTTCTCATGCTTTATATCACACATTTCCTTTTTTGCTAACCTGATTGCATTCTTTCCCCCTTATTACCATAAGGTTTCAGAATAGAAAATAGGTCTAAAAATTTTCCAAGGAATTTTTCTTGAATTTTTCTGTATATTTTACAATAGATGTTGATGAATGTATATCAACGGAACTAAATAATTGCACACAGGCCTGTAACAACACAGAAGGCAGTTTTATATGCTATTGTTATGATGGATTTTATTATGACCAAGACAAAAATAATTGTCTAGGTGAGTAAAAAAATATTAATATTAAAACTCTGTTATAATCTTATGTCAGAAGAATGGTTGAATGTGGTCGTGGTAAAAATAATTATTGTATAAGTCTAAAAGACTTTCAATAATGGACACTATCAGTTTTTATTTCGAAATTTCTTTGAATGGTTTTCTTCTTTGAAGATATTTTTAGATTATCCTAAATCATTACAAATTACCCTAATATTTATTTTATTTTTTTTATATTGTGGGTTTCTTTTTTATAAAGTTTTAATATAATTTTTGTCTAGCTGTTTATAGTTAAACACATTTTTTTAAAAAATGATGTAATTTGTATTGACATAAACTTAAACAATTTAGACATCGAATATAGATGTAGAATAAATTATGCATTGCTATTACTATACAAATCTTAAATAGACTTTTCCCATACGTTTTCAATATAGATTATACAGGGTGGGCCAATAAAAGTGAGAACATCTCGTAAAATATTACGCTACGTGATGTTCTCACTTTTATTGGCCCACCCTGTATATGTTACTTAAAAGATGAAATAGCTATTTAAATACAGCAGTTTATGTTTGCAATGTTGCAGATATTGATGAATGCCAACTGGGAATAGACAAATGTCAACAAGCTTGCAACAACACTGAAGGTGGATTTAGATGTTCATGTAATTCTGGATTGTATCTTGATACAGATGGACAGTCTTGTCGGGGTATTGCTTCTTTTATTGCTTAGAATAAAAAATAATAAAATATTCAAAACAATTTAACATGCATTTTACTATAGTTTTTTAAAATCATTTCCTGAGAAAAATTAAATATACATTGGTAAATCTTGATTATTCTAATGAAATATTAAGTAGATAAATTATTTGGAAGCCTTTTACAAAAATAGAAATACAAAAAGGATTAGGCTTAATGTTAAGGTTAGTCCTATATGATAACAACTTTTGTAGGCCTGTTATAAAATGATAGTTTACTTCAAAATGTTAAATAACTTCAACTGATTTTTTTATATGTTTACAATAAATAATAAATGTAAAAATAAGTCTAATTAAATGAATAATATTTTCTTTTTTTGAGTTTTATGCTCCTGAAATGCTTCTACCAGTAAAACGTCTTGTAGAAAGCCATGATCTTGTGGGTTAAAAAAAAAGGATTTTCTAAAAAATGTTTAACTATTCATCAAGTAAGTTACATCACATAACTTGGTCAAATATTTTTCTCCCACAGCCACCAAAGCTTGTATAAGTAAAATCAATTGTCAACATGAATGTGCCAATGTCAATGATATTGATGTTTGTTTCTGTCCGAAAGGTCAGAAGCTGTCTTCTGACTCTTTGAACTGTGAAGGTAAGCATAAAGCTATTAACTTTAACTTAATTCCTTCTGTTTCTAATTTCTAATAAACTGACCAACTGATCCCATCAAAATTGAGACTATCCATATTCAATAGACTGAAAGAATCTCTACAAATATCATCAGTTATCAAAATCATCAAAACTTAGGTGAAAAATGTTTAGTATTTGAAATTACCTGTTATTTTACCACTAACAATGTTGTCCGTAAGTAAAGCTATAAAATTTAATTTGGGCAGCATTTCGTCATCTTTTATTTGATCTCTTGCATGTTTGAAAGTTAATGTGCTTATTGGTAAATAGAAACATTTTTTTAATTTGTATTTCAGATGTTGATCTTTGTAAAGCAAATGTATGTCAAGAGGGGTGTATTGAAATAATGGACAATACAAGCATGTCATGCACATGTAACCTTGGAAAAAGATTATCAACTGACAAAACCTCTTGTATAGGTATGAATCGAGCTCCTAAAAGAACTATTCAAGTCAAATTCTTTTTATATAATGACATAAACATAAGTATTAAAGTGCTTTAAAAATCCCTTAAAAAGAGTTGGTATTTAAAGTTAAATGGAACATTTTCTTGTATTTTAAATGTGGGCCAAAATCTTTCTGTTAGAAATTTTTTTTAAATCTTTAAATGCCTCAAGCAGAATACATTTTTTTTTTAAATTTTAGAAATGTACAATGAAATTAAGAAATACAAAAGCACTCGCTTTTAAGCTATGATAATTTTTTAAAGTATCCAGTACATACAGGTTGGTGCAAAAATTGGTGGGACTTTCTCGTATGATATTGTATAATATTTGTTTTGCTAAATTTTAACTTCTACAAAAAGTAACATGTTTCTAAATGTTGCTTAAATAAATATAATAAAGATTAATTTAATCTGTTCTTATTAATTCTAAAAAAAACATCTATTTGGCTGTGCCACCGCACAAAGTCAATGCTGTTTTCTCATAAAGAACAGAGGTAATTTTGCCACTCTTTGAACAATGGCCAATATCTGTTGTTAAGTTGTTTTGTTGTTGTTGTTTTTTAAATCTATGACAAAACTATACACTTTGTTAGAGGGTATCAGTATTATAGTAACAGCATTATATACCAGTTTTAAGCCCAATTTATTCCTGAGCCACATGTCAGGTTTAATGAAGATTACATTCTCCTGAAGAGAAAAGGTTTATTAAGTTTCTTCTTTTATATATTTTTTTTTTTGTTTTTTTTTTGTAATCTTAAGAAAACAGTATCTATCACTGAAAAAGTTCTTAGGTGTGTTGAAAATAATTCTAGGCCTAATTTTATACCTATCTATAAAATATCTCCTTTTTTAATTACTAGTATGTTTGCTAGTTTTTGTTGTTGTTTTTGGGGTGGTGGGTTTTGTAAATAAAAACTGGAAAGGCATAGAAAATGCCAAGCGTCAACAACTGAAATATTCATTCGATCTTCAAAACTAAAAAAGATGTTTAATTAGTTAAACAATGTCATGTATAGTTGAAGTTTTCAACAAATGATACTTCAAACATAAAATTCTTTGTAAAACTTTAAAAAGTATTATTCAAGTGAGAAACCTCTGATGCTTGAGTGTCATCTATGCTGTACAAAAAATATATGGTTTTTCAGAGTGTAGTGAAGGCTTTTTTGGTCCATCATGTTTAAGCCATTGCCAGTGTGGCCCACATATGACTTGTGACATTTTGAACGGTTCTTGCAAATGTCTACCAGCTTGGAGTGGAGATGATTGTGAAACTGATGTAGATGAGTGTGCCAGTCAAACTCACAACTGTGACCCAAGCAAACACCAAGAGTGTCGAAACACAAATGGTGGTTTTGATTGTAACTGTGATCTTGGTCACATGAAACCTTGCCCCTCCTGTGATTGCAAAGGTTAAAATTAATGTTTTTTAACACATATATTTGTTCTGATATCATTTTATTTTAATTTGTGTATTATAAATGTAGTAATTGTTAAAAGTAAGCTCTCATGAGACAATCGCTAGTTTACATTAAGTAAGTGATTGATTCCAAAGTTATCTATTTGGTACTGATTGAGATGTTAGCAATTTTAAGTTTTATACAATAGTACAGCAGTTAAAAAACAAAGACTAGTGTATGATTTATGTTGCAATTAGATTTAGGGCAGATGTACAGAACTTTTGCATGATTTCTTGAAGATTTACTGAAGGCCAAGTGAAGAGCCTGGGTTCAAAAACACACTCTTATTTTTTAACTTCTGACAATATCTTTGATGTTATATAATTAAAGCATGTCATATGTGCATATTGTGGAAATAGAAGATGATAGCAAGCCATTTTTGGGAACAGCCAAATTTCTGCAGAAGCCTGAGATATGATAATCACCAAACAAACTTCCCATTGTCATATGTACAAAAGTCGTTTTATGTTACACATGCATATTACAACAATACTCTGTTGTACTCAATTTATAATTATAGTAACAATATGCACTTATTAAAAAAATAAATAGTGTGCTTTAAAGATAAATTGTTTAGGTTAGGTTATCACAAGAAGAAAGTATTGGAAAGCACTGTAGTTTATGTAAACCATCAAAATCATCTTCATTTTGCCTCTCAGGTAGAGACTAAACAGAGTTTAATGTTATTAATAATGACATTATAATTTACAAAATATTTGCGTTTTATATTCTCTCAAGGATTGAATTAAATTGGAACAATATTTAACACTGAGATTTTAATTTACATTTTTTTTTCTAAGTTTGTGATAATGGAAATTATGGAGTAAATTGTTCTGAGAGATGCAAATGTAAAATGGAGAATTCAGTTCTATGTAACAAAACTGATGGATCCTGCATGTGTAAACAAGGTTGGGTTGGTTCTGACTGTTCAAGTAAATCAAGTAAGTGTTATATTTATCTCGTATGTCTTTATTTTTGTTTAAAGTCAATTTTGGTAATGGCTCTGTATGTTAAACAATGCAACTTGATTTTAAATATTAAAATACATGTTCATCAATGTGAATAAAAAAAAATGTTTGATCTTAAGATGAATAACAAAGTGTTTACTGTATTATTTCAGAGGTCACAGCTGAGACAGTAATCATTCCTATAACAGTTGTGTTTGATTATGATGCTTCAAATTTGGATTTATCTCAACATTTAGGAGAAGATTATATTTATATCAAAGGAGATATAGAAATTCAAGTAATTTCAATTATTAGACATTGTATTTGTTTATGATAAGTGTTTTAATATACATTAGAATTTTATTTTTATTTTTAATTATGAAAAATCTAGAAACTTTAAGTCTAAACTTTGTTAAGTAATAATTTATGGGTGAAGAAATATAAATATATCAATTGAAGTGAAAAAAAGTGGAACATTTTAAGTAGAAATTTGATCACAAACACCATAGCAATGCATGCCACAACCTTATTCAGATAAAAAAAAATTAAAGATTAAGTAAAATAAAATACTAAAGAAAATAAGTGCATATCAAAATATAAGATGAAATAGATAAGGGTGAGAAAGATCATTCTGTTTGGGGTACAAATTTGATTTGGTCTAGTTACCAATTCAGGAATTTTGTGTTATCTGAAAGCTTTAATTTAATAAATAAAATTAAAATATAAATTTTTAAAGCAATTTTTATTGTATTTATAGAACTTAAATTTTTTTTTAAACTTAAAATGACAGTATTGAATGTATTGAAGTTTTTACGTTAATGAATAAGAAAATATATAACTTTGTTTCAGCTATTTGAAAAACTTTCTGAATTATTGACTGCAGTTGTCTTTTTTAATGTCACTGATTTGAGGTAAGAGATATTATTGAAATCAGAAACATGCCATGTTTTCATGGCATGAAAGCATAAATGTTTAGGGTCTATGAAAAATGCATCATGTAATCATATGCAGTCTAAAGTAGTGAGAACAGATATATTGATGAGAAAAAAAAGGTATCTATTACAAACAGTTTTCCTCTAAGTTAAACTTTAGTTTTCATTTGTTAAAATTACGTTTTCTTAATAGAACAAACATGGTTCTTTAATTTCATTTGAACTTATGATTGCCTTTTGTCTCAAGTATTATATAAATATTAAAACATTTAACCATTTAAAAAAGTAATCCACTTATCATATTTTTTTCAATAGACAAGGCAGCTTAATTGTTGATGCTGATGTCACATTAAATAAAGATGGATTAGCCAACCCTGAATTGGCTTTACTCAAAGCTCTATTGAAAATCATGCACAACAATGTTTGCTTTGATTTAAAGAATTCAACAACTTGTATTAATGAATTGAACCTGAAACAACAGCTGTGTGAGTAGAGGCAATGTTATCACTTATATTAAACCCTATCACTTCATTAATGTGTCTTTAACCTTGTAACCTATGCATTGCTACTAAAAATTACTATCTATTCAATATGCAAAAATGTATTATTTAATATTTACTTTTTCAATGAAAACTTTGCTATTAAAATGAGTAATAAATCTATAAGAGCAAGTCTAAGTTTGGACAAATATTTTACCAAGTTTTTCTTTACGCTCACATTTGGGTTTTAAAGTCAACAAGGATGACAAGCCATGTGATACAAAGAAGAAAATTGACCCATGTTTGGAGACTGAGCTATGTCAGAATGAAGGTGAAGAAGCTGTGTGCAGGTAATTTGAAAACATGTCAATTGAGTATTAAAAGGCAGAAAGAAATCATTTTTTTAAAAACTAAACATAAACCTCTCAAATTATTGTACTAAACTGTGTGTCGTCAGGACTAAATAGTGAACTATAGTGAGAAATACACAAATTATTGCTACTACTTATTACACTTGAATCATGTGTTTAGTTTAAAGGAAAATCCAGTGAAGATATTGTATTATTTTTAGTGCACTGTAAATATAACTTACTGTTATAGTGTTAAATGTATTTTGCCATGTTTAAAAATACACTTGAGTAGTCATTTTAAAAATGTGTACTTAATGTAAGATGAAATGAATAAATATCTCGAAGTATGGTGCTGATTAAGTATTATGGTATTAATCCTAAAAAAATAAAATCATTATCATATACTTAATCATTTATTTTAAAATGAGATTGTTTGAAAATTTTCATACATGTTAATACCCGTAGTTGTAAATTTTCATGTTTGGTTGATTTTTTTCCAATATTTTCTATTTCAGAGTTATTGCTGCAAAAGGTAGGTTTTAACTGGTCATTTTTGCTTTAACAGTAACGCCATGCGTCCATACAATAATCTGTATAAAGCCAAAGAAATATTGCTAAAAAAAATGTTCAACTAATGTTAAAAAGGTATAATCTTATTGTATTTAACCAGCTTTTAAGGTTATATCATATATATATATGTATTGTGTGATACATTGTTTAAAATCAGTCTTGTATGATCTGATTAATCCTCAACTATTAAGAGATCTTTATTTTTGCTTATCTTGAATGTGCACCTCTCAATCAGACCATATGCAGTTCATCATTGGAATGTCTCTTGGGATATCAATATTCCTAATACTAGTAGCAGCTATAGTGATTGGAACAGTCTTATGGGTAAAAAAGAATGACAGCCTTGAGAAAAAAAAAGATACAGTTATTCCTCTGCTGGAGCTTCCCACAGAATCAAGAAATATGTAAGTATTAGCACTAACAATTTGGAACTCTACATATTTTTTTATTCTCTGCATTTTTTAATTGCTGAGCATAGTCAATACATGCTTTATGTTTTTTTATTTCAATTTCTTTATTTTATATAGATACAGCATGTCGATTTTGAATGTTAAAAAAATTGTGTTAATTTTTATTAAGCTCTGGTAAAAAAATTAAATTAACTTATAATACTACAAGTGCAAAATGTGCTAAAACAATAACGCCGGATAAAGTCTAACCTATCACACCTTTGAAAATTTTAATTGCCATTGCCAATATTTTTTTTCTTCAATTTTTACTGGATTTACTCAAAATTGGAAATAATATATTTTCTCTCAACTTTGTTTAGGCAAAATCGACGAACCTCTAGAACACAAAGCCATGGAGGGCAAATAGTGGTAAACCAGACTGAAGAACAACCAGAAAACAATAGGGGTAATAATCATGTGTTAATTAAGGAAATTCATATGATTTTATTGCTTTCTGTCCAAAATCAACTACCCATGCCTTACACCATACCCAACAATACAGATTCAATTAAGAAGAAAAAAGCATTGATGGATCGTAGGGTGGTAGGTGGCAGTGGTATTAGAAGTGAGGGGGAAGAGGGTGTTATCCACCCTGTGTGGCACTTCTTTCTTTTTATTTATTGGTGGCATCTTCGGCTAACTGCAGATTCCAAAAATCTAAGCCAGCCCCAGGTGGCACTAACTCTTGCTACACCACAGGCAGAGGGTGGGATGACTCACCATTATGAGATTCAATATGGGGTCTGAGAGTTTGGGATGGGGCAAATTTTTGAGAACTGAATGATGAGCCCACAAATTTGGCTTGAAATAATCTGGATCAAACATGATATTTTAAATTAACCAAATTCATCTTTTCATAGGCCCAGTAATTTATCTTGCAAATCCAAATCCAACCTTTAACTCATTCAGAGCCCAGACTAGTTTTTCCTTTTATAAGCAGCACAGGAAAAGAATTTTTGATATATCTAGCACTGTCTGAATTAAAAACTTTGTATAAGCCTATTTCCAATGGAACAAGATAGTTTACCTTTTTAGCCAATTGTACTAATTATTTAATTGTCTTCTCATTCCAAAATTTCCATGACAAAAAAATTAGACATTTTACATTACATCATGGTTTTAAAATATCAGCACAAAATTTCAGGACACAGTGATCAAGCTTTGCCAACAATGAACGGATCTGAGAGGAGGATGTCAAGCCAAGATAATATAATCAGACACCATTATGATGAGTTGTACCATGGCTATAGAATTCCACAAGGTCAGCTGTCCTTTATGATAAATGTTTATATCTATTTTCTATTTGATTAAAATATGTTGTTTTTTAAATCTACATTTCATGCATTTGAACTCAAAGTAGTATGACATTGTCAAATGGTTTTTTTTTATGCACCAATTAAATATGTGCGGCAGACAAGAATAGTTCAAGTAATGCATCAAAATAAATCTTTTTTCTTTGTTGTTGTTTTTTTAAGTTGTAGGCCTAAATTTCAGATGTAATGATACCATTTCATTTTTTTTTCTTTCAGGTATTGAAAGGCCCCGGCAAATAAGTTCATTTATAGAAGACCCTCATATTCAGTACTAGCTAAATGAAATTAAATTAAATTTGTGTGCAACATTTTCATTTTAATACCAAATTGTTTAATTTCTTTCTAACTGTTTGAATATTCATTTTAATTCATTTAAATACATGAATCTTTTTTTATTTTCATTTATTTTTTACTATAACTGATGTTTTTATTTTTGATATAACTGATCTCATGATTCATTTCAATAACAAACTATTAATTTTTGCTGTCACTCTAGTAATTTTAATGAAATAAAATAACTATTTTCTGCTGTTTCTATGCATGTAAATATGAAATATCACTTTAAAATGCTGTTTTATCAGCCCATGATGTTTAGTTTAACTTTTGAAAAAACATTTAAAATAAAACAAAACAACAATAAATCTGTTTCCTAGTTCATATTGATCAAAATTAATAAAATTAATCATCGTTTTCTCAATTATTTTTTGTTTTTATTTTAATTTCTGTGATTTTTTTGATAAATTAAGAAATCATTCCTTAATTTAGATGTTTTTTGGTTTTTTAAAAAGTATTTGAATGCTTAAAATAAAATGGTAACCCTTTAATAGCTAGACTCTAGATTGTTATTTACGATTTACAATAAAGTTTGAGATTTACGGTAGTATATTAATCCTGACACCTGACAGACCAATTTTCAAGTTCAAACGGATAGCGATATCTCTTCTTATTGGAGATTATCCTAATTTTAAGGCCACTAAGCAGTGGTCGTGATTTTGCGTTCTTAATTAAAAGCGCGTTATCTCCCCTTCACATTCATTTTCGTCTGATATAAACCAGGGGTCTCCAAAATGCGGTCCGCGAGGCCCTCTCATGCACCCCGCGGAGACCTCTAAAGAAAAAAATTACAGAAATTTACGTGTATCCTGCCAAGATCAGGCGCCGCTTACGTGCACGTTATTTTTTTACAAAATAGAGGCGCGCATTAGTGCGTCATGTTTTCTAACCATAGAAAAAAAACAAAAAACAACCTTAAACGCTGATTAGTTTTTTTCTATTCCGTTCACAGTCAATGAAATGATTTAACGCCATCTAGTGGCGGAGCTTTGCCCGCCGTGTTCCATATTTGGGTGAAAACATTGCAACTCTAATAGCGAAAAATGCAAGCAAGTTTCGCCAATTTTTAATTGTAATGGATGAATCGCTGGACAGCTGTTCCACCTCTCAACTTCTTGTGTTCGTTAGAGGTGTGGATGAAGACATGAACATAACACAAGAGCTGGCTTTGGCTTCCCTACATATCGTGTACGACACTGTTACCCGAGAGGATATATTCAATGAGTTAAAAAAAAAAATTTGCTGATTTTAACTTAAACTGGATTAATCTCATTTGCCTAACTGTTGACGGAGGAAATAACATGAGTGGCATAAAAAAGGCTTGGTTGGACAAGTGAAGCAGATGTGTAATGAGAAACAAAATTCTGCAGCCACTGTTCCTGCACTGTATTATTCAGCAGAAAGCTTTGTGTGCGCTACATGTGGACATTACCAGCGTACTAAATCCTGTGGTAAAGAGGGTTAATTTAATAAGGTCACATAGGCTCAACCATAAACAGTTCAGAGACCTTTTGAAAGATACAGACACAGAATCGCAAAATTTACCATTATTACACAGCAATAAGATGGCTAAGTTGTGAGAAAGTTCTGAGCAGAGAATTTAAGTTAAGAAAGGAAATAGGTGACTTCCTGGAAAGTAAAGGCAAGCCACAACCATTACTATCTGATAAAGAGATGGTATGGAAATACGTCTTTGCTGCAGACATACCTAGTCATTTCAATTTTCTGAACCTAAAACTACAAGGAGAGGAAAATCTAGTTTCTGATCTATACATCCACCTAAAGGCCTTCAGATGCAAAATTCGTCTTGTATGTTTGGAACAATTAAAGGCCAACAATTTGACGCACTTTCAGCATTGCTAGGTCTTCATGGCTGAAGCAATAGCGTATTTCCCCACGTCATTTGTTTGCGAGATCATCAAAGACCCCCCCCCCCCCGCCCTTTTTTTTTCCAGCTGCAGTGTCAGCAGCGGTTTTCTGACTTGGATTTAAAGGCCGAATAAGTGAAACTTTTTCAAAACCATTTGAAGCAGATGTGGCCAGTCGCCCAGATGAATTGCACCTGAAGTTCATTGAGTTGCAAGCAAATGACCTCCTTAGAGACAAATTAAAAGAAGGACCGGTGGTTTTTTTACTAGTTTTCGCCCAAGGAAGATTGTCCTAATTTCAAAACATTTGCATCAATGTACCTTTCCATTTTTGGAACACCATGCCTGTGTGAACAAAAATTTTCAAGAGCAAAATACGTGAAGAACAATTTGAGAACAAATTTGTCCGATGATAATCTCAGGTCACTACTGTTGTTAGGGAAATCAAATCTAAATCCAGAATGTCTGCTAATCACTGCTATTTTGGCATCCAGGAAACAAAAAATTTCACCATTCCAACTAATACAGGTGTTAATGTGTCATGTATCAATGTGTTATTAAATAATAACTGAATGAAATAATAATATATAAATAATTAAGAATAACATCCATGTTATGATATTTTTTTGTATTTGGACGTCGAGTGTGTAATTGGCCCCCGAACTGCTGTTTGATAGAATATGCGGCCCTCAGGCTGAAAAGTTTGGAAACCCCTGGGATAAACGAACGAAAATCGTGTGCTGTCAATTATTTAATTTTGTGATGAATCACCAGTGAAAGGAGGATAAACTATACAACAACCTGTAGTTAGACAGTGGGGGGGGGGTGCATTTTCGGCCAATTGCAGAGTTTTTCGTGAAATGGGGGGAGGGTATATATATATACGTGCACCCCAGCCTTCCCCCCACCCGTAAATACAACATTGTTAGGGTAGACCCACGCCAATACCCTGTCTTATTCATGTACCTCTGTGTAAACTTCTTTGATAACTTCTTTGTGTATCTACCCACCACTTATGCTATTACCCATGCCCATTGATCTTTTTGACTCCGCACTATGACGTCACGTCGCTGTGTGAACCGAGTCTGATATTTTCGAAAAGTTCTCACGATCTTTAAACACGTGCCTGCCAGAACTGTTCCACACCAAACTTCTACCCCCTTTTCCAGCCCCCCCCCTTTCCAGGCGCCCCCTCCCCCCCCCCAACCCGTGATGTTTAGCTTACCTGTACCGGCGTACTTGGGACGATGAAGATGTAATCACCAAGCAAAACATAAACTACCCCCGGGAACTCTCTGGCGTGCATGCTTTTAAAACTAGAGTACGTGCGTTACATCAGGGCCTGTCTTTAATTCTGCTGCTGTAATAAGTGGAGCGGGTTTGTAGGGTGTGGACATGTTTTGGTTTTTTAGCTCTGAAGGTTGGCCTCTGAGCCAGAGTTGGTCGACGTACTTTGATGTGGTCAGACCGAGGCAGAGTTGGTCGACGATCTGTGATGTGGTCAGACCGAGCCAGTGTTGGTCGACGATCTGTGATGTGGTCAGACCGAGCTAAAGTTGGAGTTGGTTGACGAACTGTGATGTGGTCAGACCAGGCTAAAGTTGGAGTTGGTCGACGAACTGTGATGTGGTCAGGCCGAGCCAGAGTTCGTCGACGATCTGTGATGTGGTCAGACCGAGCTAGAGTTGGTCGACGTACTGTGATGTGGTCAGACCAAGCCAGAGTTGGAGGTGGTCGACGGACTGTGATGGGGTCAGACCTGAGTTGGAGTTGGTCGACGAACTGTGATGTGGTCAGGCCGAGCCAGAGTTCGTCGACGATCTGTGATGTGGTCAGACCGAGCTAGAGTTGGTCGACGTACTGTGATGTGGTCAGACCAAGCTAAAGTTGGAGTTGGTCGACGAACTGTGATGTGGTCAGACCAGGCTAAAGTTGGAGTTGGTCGACGAACTGTGATGTGGTCAGACCGAGTCAGAGTTCGTCGACGATCTGTGATGTGGTCAGGCCGAGCTAGAGTTGGTCGACGTACTGTGATGTGGTCAGACCGAGCCAGAGTTGGTCGACGTATTGTGATGTGGTCAGACCGAGTCAGAGTTGGTCGACGTACTGTGATGTGGTCAGACTGAGTCAGAGTTGGTCGACGTACTGTGATGTGGTCAGACCAAGCCAGAGCTGGTCGACGTACTGTGATGTGGTCAGACCGAGCCAGAGTTGGTCGACGTACTGTGATGTTGTCAGAAGCTCACACTTAAAATCTAAAGGTTCTGTACAAAAGAATAGATGCATTATTGCCTATTTTTAATTATTTCCAGAATAGATAGTCATTGTTTGGCTATTTTTTTTAAATTTCCAGACTTGATAGTCCTCCTTTCCCAAGACGTGAATGTTATAGAGGAGGGTAATGGAAGTCGGTTTGTTCGGGTGTATTAAATAAAAGAAAAACGTAAAATAACATCTAATGAAGTTATTTATGCGCATGGCTTTTGTATCATGCAACAAGGCAGACAAATTGTAACATCAAATGGTGGACCTAACGGGAAAGGTCATTTTTGTAGTGCATTATATTATGCAGAGCTAGATCAAGTTTGCATTTTTTATCGGTGAGGTAAAAGTGTTGGTTCAATTTCCTGTAGCACTCCTGGCGCATATAAATGTCACATATTTCATTATTGAGAAAAGATATTCAAACTAATTACTGACTCAAACATCTAACTAAACGGTAAAAAATGGGGGTGGAGGGGTGGTCTCAGATTTTCCAACTCAATTCATTTAACCGCTTCCCTCTCACATTTTTAATGAGAAGTGAGCTCTCCAGGAAGTCCACTGTTTGAGCTTAAAAGATTTTGCAACCAAATGAAAGTGCCAGCCCAGGTTGGGGGGGGGGGGGGAGGGCTGGTAGGGGTGGGTGTGGATTCAGCTACCCAACTCGTGTAGACTTCGTGTAGACTTTGCTGGACGAAATCTACAATGCATGGGATTATTCTCTTTTTTAGGATTATAAGCTGGTTCCCTACGCAGCGAATCACCTCTTTCCACGCTGCTGGATAACCCAAGGGAACAGACAGCTTAACAACAGTGGCGTCGCAGGAGTTGTCGGAATGTT